TATATATATATATATATATATATATATATATATATATATATATATATATATATATATATATATATATATATATTATTACAATGAATCATTCATACAAAAAGTAGATTAGTAAAGTTGTTATCCTGAAAGAAATTTGCATGTCGGATCAGTTTTTTTAAATTAAATATGTGGGGCAGTTCAATTTATATTACACTGCACCACATATTTGATTTAAAAGAACTGATCCGCCGTGCAAATTTTTGGGATAACAACTGAGATATTACTCTACTTATTGAACTATTTAGTTCATGCCACATTGACTAATAAACTCCTACAACAAAAAAATTCTCAAATTGCCATATTAGTAAAAAAAGCACTCTCTTAAATTTTCAAAAATTCAACCTTAGTATTGCATCTGCACGCTCCAAAAGTTAGTATCTGTTAACAATAGCACATTAAAAAAAACATATTTCAATTCACATTATATTTTTTCATCTCGGATGCTACCTGAATTTTACCAGAAACAAAATAATTTCCATGCCTGAAGATGACTGAATGTACAGTTGAAAGTAATTGTGTATTAAAGAAAGACCTTATACAGCTTATAAATTTTTTAAAAAACAAGTATCATAACATTCATCGAGTGATTTGTATGCTAATGCACCTTTAAATTTTTGTTTGTGAAGGGATTTCACCATTTTATATCATTAACTTTACTAATTTACTTTTTGTATGAATGATTCATTGCAATATAAATTGAACTGCACCACATATTTGATATATATATATATATATATATATATATATATATATATGTGTGTGTGTGAAATTTCAGATAGAATATATCTGTTGTAGGACAATGTGAATACAGACAAAAGGAAACCTTATCTTAGCTGATGCATTTCATCCTTTGAGGGACTTTATCAAGGCAAATGCAAGGATTTTATTTTGTGACAAATATTTATATACAAGAGCAAAAATGTTATTGGTTTTTCAAAATATTCAATTTAAGAACACTCTAAGCATTCATTAGTTTAGCTGAAAAATCTATGCAAGTTATGGAGGACACTAAGTGATACAATTCAATGTCTGATGGACAAAATTGAGTAAATGATGTTCTTGAAATTATTTATTCACTTTCATCCATTAGACTTTGAAAAAGCTTAAAATATTTTTATGTTTTTATTTTTTCAATTTTTCAATTTTTTCTTAATATAAACTATCTGATTAAGATTTATTGTTAATCTTATATTATTTGCTAGAATATTTTGGTAATTTTTACAGGAAAAAATTTTTTGTTTTTTATTTTATAACTAATAATTTATTATTATATTTTTAAAAAACTTTTTAGCTTTTTTTTTTAAATTTTACGTGCTATAATTTGATTTCCCTTCAGTATTTTTCATACCACAATTTGGGGTGGCTGAATTAAAATCTAGGTCAAGTTTGTACTAACTCTTTCTGTTTAAGCTAGACAATATCCGCCTCCCCTTACCACTATATGGGTTTTATTTGGTTAAATCGATATCTTATTGTCAACGGCTGTGTCTTCTTTCTCTTTTTTATTTTTTTAAATATTTAATTTTTGACTTTCTAACTTTGTATCTGCACACCATTTGAGTTGAAAAATACTAGTATATTAACACTAGTTCAAATAGCTATTCTCATGAGGTAATTTGGGATTTCTCTATTTTGTAATATATATATATTTATATATATATATATAGTTGAAGAGAATGAATTAGATAGATAGATAAGTTGGATCAAATACAGATTGCAATCTGACAGAATGATAAAATAAAGAACAAATAAGAAACGTTTATCAATCTAACATGTTTGACTTTTATTAAAGCTTCATCAGTGAATATGGAGAAAAAGAAGAAAAAAATTTTGGTATTTTTACTTTTGTGCTGTTTGATTTTCATATTTGAAACCTAATTAACCAATGAAAATTAAAAAGCACAAATATAGCCTGAAGATTGCCTTTAAGCATGAAACAGTCTGTCACCTCTAACTGTTGACTTCAATATCCACTTTTATTTTGATTCTACCCCTAATCCATTGGCACATGGCAGGTATGAAGGTGAATTTAAGCATATTTATTTTTAGATAAAGACACAGTGACTGAGTGAACTCAATTCACTTTAGCAAAGAGTCTTGCATTATTAGCTGTAATAATCACTGTTTACAAATTCATACTTCATCCCCAGAGAGCTTAACCAAAATAGATTTTTCAGGAGCATATATATTGTCATCCACAGACAGACTGTTTTGCTGTATCACAGCTCATCAGTGTGGCTAACGTCCAGTTGCCTCTAGCTAGGTTCAAAACTCAGCTGAATTGGTGTCAGTCAAAGATTCTACCCCTAATCCATTAGCACATGGCAGGGATTAAGGTGAATATATATATATATATATATATATATAATACAAATTTGGTCAGCAATGTTTCTTTCAAACGTGTTTATTTGAATATGACAGACAAGGAAAAGTTTTTCTAGTATTCTTAAATATTTCCATTTGTGGAGGTAATGAAGTGTAGAAATTGTCTAGTGTTTATTGTCCCAGCAGTTTCAGCCAGTTCTTTATATATATATATATATATATATATATATATATATATATATATATTTATATAATTTAGACTATATATATATATATATATATATATATATATATATATATATATATATATAGTCTAAATTATATAAAATGAAAATAACACTGACCTCTCATTTTAACAGACATATTTACCAAAATTAAACAAAAATATCTTGAAGTACTAAAGAGTAAATTTATTCTATAAAATCACAATTGGCTTCAACCCCAGCCTCCAGACAACTTTAGAATCTCCTGCAAGACTTCTGGATAATCAAAGGGTTGGAGTCTGGGGAGTTAACTGGCCAGATGTAAGGGGTAATATGGTTGCAGAAATTGTCTGACAGCCATGACTGGCTTCTCTTGCTTGTTTGGCATGGTGTAGAATCTTCTTGACCCAGGGTAGACCTCCATGTTGAGTCTGAGGCCCTGTGATAAGATGGATGGAGGCATAACATTTCAATATATATATATATATATATATATATATATATATATATATATATATATATATTCAGTGTCACTTTTTGTTAAGTTAGACCTTTCAAACAGGGGTAATTCCTTTTTGTGAACAATCCATGTTGCAAATTGTTGTAAATTATCTACAACAACCATCAGAATTAATTTGAAAAATGTTTTAAATATTATCAAATAAGATTATTTCTTACTCAAGTTCATTGACAAAATTGTAATTTTTCCAACATTTGATTTGGACATTTTCAATATGTTGCCCATTACATCTCTTACATTGTAGAATGATCCTTATTCTCAAAAAATATTAGCATTTGTTTGTGAATCAATTTCATACTATCCCCTGACTGTGGAGCATTGTTCAATGAGAAATCTCTGGCACAAAATGTTACAAACCATTTTGGATCCCGTTGATTATTCTGGTACCATCTTTTAAAAGTGCAAGAATCATTTCTCTGTAGTTTAGTTACTTTTTTTTACCTTTCTTAAAATTAAAAAAGAAAAAGAAAAGCATAATATACATTTAATGTTCAATAAGTATGCCAATTTTGATAGAAATAAAAAAAATACATGACAACTGCCATAATGTGACCAAAAATAATCTTTCTGTATGAAGTTCTTTAAAACTAAATTTACCTAATACCATGTATAAATTTGAATTTTTCATAATTCAATAGATCAGAACAAGCTGAAATAGATAGATAGATAGATAGATAGATAGATAGATAGATAGATAGATAGATAGATAGATAGGTGAATGAATATCATAGGTTATGAATAGATGGTTGAAAGAGAAAATGTGTTCATATTATTTACATTATTTGGACTGTTATCCTCATTTTCATAACCAATGCCTTAATCCACAGGTCCATATGTCTTTGAGGGTTAGATCCAGTGACTAGACCCAAAAAGGTATGAGTTTAATACCATGCTACAGCAGTGATGGACCAAAATACTTGGGGAGTTGAGTTAAAGGGAAATAACTGAGACATCCAGAAGAGGAATGGCACGTGGAACTAGAACAACCTATCCTGGTGGACGAAATAAAGGATTTGGTTTGAAATTCCAATAACCTGAAGAAGGCTGGAGTGTACAATGGCTAAAATGTTGTGAATATGGCAATGCAGATGAAGATAACAGTCTGAATAATGTAAATAATGTAAATAATCATAATACCTCATCCCAGAGATATAGAAAGATATTGGAGAAAATATATTATTGATAGTTCAATAACTACAAAAGGAAAATTACAATTAAATAGCTCTGAAAATTTCCATAATTAAAATGAAGAACAACAATCAATGAATAAATTTTTGTGCAAGACAGCTTTTACCTCCAGAACCAACAACCTTTGCCTCCAGAACCAACAGCCTTTGCTTCCAAAACAAACAGCCTTTGCTTCCAGAACCAAGAGCTATTAATAAAGATAAGATGTTGTTTAGTCTTAAAGTACATTGGCACTTTGGATACAATTCCATTAATTGCCATCAAATAACCCCCACCCATTTCCGCACAAGAATGATGAAGTACAATATTTGTTGGCATTATTCCCTCTACAAACAGTTATTTCATTAGCACATCTGCATCACTGCTGTACTGTCCTCATTGAACCATAGCTCATACAAGCATATACTCATGTCTTCTAACATTGAGTTACATGTTGCTGCATTTTGTGTCAGTTCACTTCTCTTGATTAAATATTCAGAAAGATTTTGCATTGAATTTAATCAAACATTTGGAAATAATAATGAAAAGAAAAGCCAAATTTGGAGTTGTGAAGGAACTGCAGTTAGAGTCATAGAAGTATAGAACCATAGAATGAAATAACATTTTTAAATTGTACCTAAATTTGCCGCAAGTCTTGATTATTGATTATTGATTATTATCACTATATATTTGTGTCAGTAAATTCTATGGGAGATTAAATGGTATAAAATCTCTTTACAGATTCAATGCTTCTCTCTTTTAGCATTATATGGTTACTAAGCACAACTGCACATCTGAATCCACGTACTGTTTTTACAATATACTCACAACATTTTCTATCTATCTATCTATCTATCTATCTATCTATCTATCTATCTATCTATCTATCTATCTATCTCCAGGTAAAATGGAACAAATGGAGCATAATTTCACTGTCTGTAACATTTAGTTTAAAAGCGGGCTAGAGATAAATATTATTTATTTTAGGATATTAAAACAAAAACATGCTACACATGCTTCTTGAAAAGGGGAAAAGTATTCTGCTTTTGAAATTAAATTAATCGTTCACTCACCAGTAGTTTGCCATTGCCTGAGGAAATACATTTGTAATGTTTAAACATAATTGCCATTGTGTAGCAATTCTTAACATGTTTTTTTTTAATATCCTAAAATAAATAATATCTATCTATCTATCTATCTATCTATCTATCTATCTATCTATCTATCTATCTATCTATCTATCGCCTCTCTCTCTCTCTCTCTATATATATATATATATATATATATATATACATAGTTAAATTAAAGATAGATAACATTAAGCGGCCATAGATTATATTTTATTTCCCCAGGAATGCGATTTTTTCCTGGTTCCTCAGATAACATTTCCAAGCATAAAGCCAAACACTTCATTATATATATATATATATATATATATATATATATATATATATATATATATAGATAGATAGATAGATAGATAGATAATATTAATGGTAAATTTGTCTCACACTCTCATATATACATTCTCACTAAATTTTATTTTTATTCCTGGAGTTGTTTTTCTGTTTTTTTTTTGAATTTGTAGGTCTGATGAATTGGATCATATTTACGATTCCAATGGAATAAATTATGACCATGGAATATTAGTATTTAAGCCTTCTTTATATATATATATATATATATATATATATATATATATATATATATATATATATATATATATATAGTTAGTTAGTTTATGAAAAACTAGGTAATCCATATGGGTAAACCTACAAGAAAGTGGTTTAGAGAGTGGCACATGTATACCACAAGCCAACATTCACCAGGCAATACCTCTACTTCAACTCTCGCAATTCAGTGTTAAGAAAGGGATTGTCTGCTACTTACAACATTGAGCAAAAGTCATAAGTGGCAGCCCAGAGACATATGAACAAGAAATGGTCAGTATAAGCAGTACCCTACAACGTAACAAATACCCTGGGTACATGGCAGCAGCTCAGGCAAGCTGGGATAGAAGGGTACAAGAGAATAACAAGACTCAGAAAACAGCTTTGGTCTGCCTAACCTATGTGAAGAGATTATTGGAGAAAATACAAAAGAACTGTGGTCTATATCACATCAGGACAACCATCAAAAGTAGTTCAACACTTTGCAGATACCTCTTCCAAGTAAGACCCCTTCCCATAGAGGAGAACATGACTAAGGACTGCAGCTGTGGTAAGAAATATAGAGGAGAAACTGACCATCCCCTTAAGGTAAGACTGCAAGAACATCGTAAAGTGGTAACACGAGGGGAAATAGAAAAATCAGGCATAACTGACTACATATGGATGTAAAAGGGAGATCACCACCTCATGTGGGATGAAGTTGAAATAATAGACAGAGAATATCACTGGAAAACATGAAAACCTAATGAATCTGCACATATGCTAGGCCAAAAAATCTCCTAAACTGGACAAGAATAGAAATGAGTACAATATGGGAACCAGTAATATCGAGAAAAATGTTAATAAGAAAGTAGGGACTTACATTAGGTGTTAAAGATAAAGAATGTCCTTGGTAGAAGAAATGACACAGAAGTTCACAAGATGTTGTTAATTTTCTGACCTTTCTGGAGTCAATAGTGCAACATAGTGGAAGCTTCTGTAGTTAATTGAGTTATAAAGTGAATGTCCTTTTTTTTTATTTACACTATTTATATGCACTATTTATATTCATAGGAGGAACGGTGGAGTAATGGATAGCAACTCTGATTGAGGAATCAGAGAGCTGAGTTTGAATTCCAGTCAAATCTATTACATTCACATATGCTAATACCCTTGGGAAAGGTATGAATCCTGTTCTTCTCCTCCCCCAAGCTATGGGCAAATAGCAACACAGACCAGTTTCTATAGCCTTGGGTGGCAACTGGTCTAGGAGAAGGACATGGGCTAACAACCTACTCACTTAAAAACTGGCTTGTTATAGAAACCACAACAATATCTTGTGGCCCTATGTTTCTCAATGAATTTAAAGGCATAATATATATTATTTATATTCAGACTATTGTCCTCATCTTTGTTGTTGACTGTCCTAGCTGCTGACAGAGTCTTGCAAAATTAGAGTTGCAGGGAATATATTGCCTTACATATTTAAGAGAAATATGGTGGATCTGTTACAGGCAGACATTTAAAAAATTGTTTGCATTTCATTTATTTTTAATATGTATTTCAACATAAAATAAGATCTTACATTGCTACTGTTAGTTTATTCTGATTATCATCTTAGAAATGTTATGGTGAATCCTCAGTAGCTGAATTGGAATTTTGAATCTTTTTTAATTTCTTACATATAAATATAAAAGTCAACACCCAAAGGCAACAATCTGTTTCCTGCTTAAACACAATCATCATGCCATGGGGATCTTTTTCAAGGTAAATGTAGAGATTTTATTTCATAACCTGTATTAATGAACAGAACTAAAGTGGAGGAAAATATATATATATTTTATATAAAACATATATATTTAAAATGTTTGGTTGAATACTATATATTTATTTTATTTTATATTATTGAAAGTACCTGGAGAAAAAATAATATAAAACAAAAATAAATATAAATTTGGTAAATTTAATGACTATAAAAAAACAACAAATTTAGAAATTTAAAAAAGTTAATAAAAAATTGGTAGACAGAACTTGTTAATATTATTCAACTTAACATGTTTGAATATATATATAAGTATGGATATTGGTGTCAACAATGAGTGATGACTATGTTTCATGCCTGAAAGGCCTGAAGATTGTAATGAAGCATGAAATAGACTGTTGCCATTCAGCATTGACACCAGTGTCCATATTTCTTATAATACATAAGAAATGAATATATGGAGATATTCATGAAATAAATTATAATAAAAATGAATCTTTAAGGTTTTCTTCTTGATTATTATTATTATTATTATGCTCTGTAGTTGACATTGAGCTCTCTCTGGATTAATATCATCCTTGGAATTATCCCTACCAGTCACAAATTGGTAATATATATATATATATATATATATGTAATACCAATTTGTAATTGATAGAGATTATTCCAAAGAGGACTTTAATCCAATGTGAGCCCAATGTAAGTTACAGAGCAATATATAATGATAAATTAAGAAAGCACCTTAAAAATCCATCTCAGTTATAATTTATTTTATGAATATTGTTATATTCATCTCTTCAGACTGAAATTTTATTAGGAATGGTATCGATCAAGACAGACAGATATACCAGGATAAAAAGGAGAAAGTGAAAAAAGAGAGAAAAAAAAGAGGAAAAAGAAAAAAGAGAATGGAAAAAATATTAATAATAAACATAGTGGGGAAAGAAAAAACAAAAAATACAAATATAATTTTTTTTTAAATTTAGGGAAGAAAGAAAGAAAGAAAGAGAGAGAGAGAGAGGGGGGATAGAGAGAGAGAGAGAGTTAAAGAAAAGAAAAGAAAAGAAAAAAGGAATAAATAATTGATGAGCCAATAACAAAAATAAATAAATAGAATGACCTAGAAAAAATTAACTTTTTTCTAGTTTATTCTATTTATTTATTTTTGCTATTGGCTTATCATTTATTTATTTATTTTTTCCTTTCTTTGTGTGTGTTTGTGAGTTCATAGATAAAGGCTTAATAGGCAGCTGCTGGTGAATCTCTTCTAATGTGTGCATGGACAAGGCCTTAGTGAGTGGCTTCTGGCTCTCTCTCTTCCATTGTGCATGTATGTATGTGCCTGTGTGTGGGTGCATGTATGTTTATGCATGTGTAGATCAAACTGGCCACCAAAATTGTTTTGAGTCTCAAGAAGAAGTATGCTTCTATTTCTAAAAAGGGATCTGAAATCTAAATTCACAGAGAGGTGTGAACTTTTTAAATACAAGGTTTTCATTAGAAAATAATTTCACACTGGCTTGTGAAAATCTTTTCCCCCAATTTGCAGGAGTGTTGAAAGGAGTTATTATTGTTATTTTCTAAATGATCTAAAAATAACACATGGTAGGTCTACAACTATATCCACCAAGTATTTTCTCATTATTTGCCCTTGTAAATATTGATTATTATATTGAAACTTCTGATAGTATTTTATTGGTTGAAAAATATATATAGGATTTAATTCCTATAGCTCCTTCCTGACAATAACCAATAGTATGGTCTAAAGTACTACAGACTATTCATTTGGTTTGAAATGAAGAATGTATTTGGATCTCATATTAATAAATATAAGATGACCAGGAGAAACTATTATAATTAAAATAATGATAGTAAACATTACAATATTACAGATCTAAGTCATTTAGTTTAAAGTGATCTGAGTATTTATTTATTTTTTGTTCAGCTAATCAGGTATTACAAACCACAGTCAAGATTATGAGGCAACATTTCATCAAATATTCTAACCCAGTTAATATGTACCTGTCAAGTCTTGTAATATGAAATATTAATAGAAACAGGAATGAAATCTAAATGTGAATGTTTTCATAAAAGTTTACTTGGATTAAATGAAGGTTGAGCTATAAGAATTGTACCTCTCAAATGAATTGCTAAAAACACAATTCTTTTAATACTAAAATTCACACAATACAAAGTTCAAAAACCACTCAATGTAGAGGGTTACTCTCAAAATGCTAATGTGTGATATGAATGAAAGAGCGGGGTGGTCATAAGAAATAAAGATGTTTTGGATAAGGAGGATATAACAACTGACTCTAACATTGAAGAGGTTAAGATTATAGTTTTCAGGGTAGCATCCATGTACAAGTCTGTTCCTCAAAGTAACAGTTCATGGGGAAAATGTTGTGGAGCTTTCTCCTTACAAATCGGATATGGATGATATGACTACTTGTTCTTTAAATAAGGGTCTGAAAAGGTGGAACGAAAGAGT